GCCGCCGCCGCCCGGGCCCGAGCGCCGCCGCCGCGCTCCCGCCGCTCCGGGCCCTTCGGCCTCTGGCGCCAGACTGAGGCAGCCGAGCCCCGAGCCGGCCAGGCGGGCCGAGCGCCGAGCCCGACCACGTGACCGCGGGCGCCAGGCGGAAGGGGGCGGGCGGCGCCGAGCGGAGCGGAGCAGGCGGGAGGGGCGCGGTGGGCTGCGGGACAAGGCGGCGCAGGGCTCCTGAAGGCGGGCAGGGTCGCTCCGGGCCGACTTACTTCAGCCCCCCTGGGTCAATGCAATACCACAGCAAAGACTTTTCGGTTTCTCTCCGAAGTTTATTTTAAAATAAAGCTTACAAACGCAGCAGCGGAGCCTCAAAAACCTTCGTGTAATGTTGCAGCGCAACAAGCACAAAGAACAGAGGCTGGTACGTGACAGCCTGAAAGAAACACTTCAAAATGCAACGCGGTGCTTCATAGCAGGCGGGCAGAAAGGCAGAGGGGCCGTGAGCAGCCCGAAGGTCACCATCTGCCTCCATCCCGGGCTTCCTGAGGCCAAGGAGAGCCCAGTCCTGTAAGCTGAGCCCAATAAGCAGACATCCCCTGGATAGGACGTAGAGATCCGTGCATGAAGCAGTTAATGCTGCAATGTCAACAAAACACACACACAGCCCTGAAGATCACAGCACACCTCGTGAGGCTGTGACAGCCCTCAATTGTTGGACCAAATGCCCTGAGTTGTGGCACTCAGCTCACAGGGCCATTCCTGACCGATGTTCATCTTTTAAAAGTACCAAATAGCACATAAGAAGTAAGGACTGTAACTCCGCTGACACTTCTGAGAGCCTGAGAGCTCTGGAAGGACCATAAAGCCAGCGGTCTTCCAGCAAGGAAAGCACTCCTGGGGTCCTCCAAGATGAGGGCTGCACACCTGTATGACAGCCCCATCAGTTACAGCCTCTGCTCACTGCCAGTTCTATGCCCAACGAAGGTGGGACGAGTCGTGCTGCTACACACTTTGATCTACAAAAGCACAGAGCCTTCATCTTTGCTCTCACTATTACACAAATTTTCTAAATGATCCCCAGAACCACCGCAGAGAAGGGAAAGCTGGGGGTCTGTAAGTGTCTTTGCCTTGCAGAAACCAAAGTGTAAACTTTTTCCATGAGACAGCCCTGGGCAACTCTACTTGCAGCAACAATTTGGGTCAATATGCAACATGACAGCAGGCAAGCCGAGACCACAAGCAGCAAAAAAGCCTGAAGGAGACAGCCTTGCTCTTGTTTGTTTGTTTGTTTTAATAAAACTACCAGGTGTGTGTGGTGGGCACCTGGAAAACAAGCACAGGGCCAGCTGTGCACAGTGCTGCATGCCTGTCAAGAGCACGCATGCAAAATTAGAATATGCTCCTTATCTTCCCAGGCACCTGCTGGCAGTGCTGGGCTCTCCCAAGTGAAGTTCCTCCCAAACAAGTTACTGCACACTCTTGGCTGCTTGTGCTGAGGCAGCGCTTGGCCAAGTGCAAACTGACAGTGGGGAAAACGTCGGCACTGCAGCAACCTCAGCAAAAGAGCAAAAATGGTGCAGAAGGAATTGTAAATGCAACTTACAAAATGTTACAAAAATGAAGTTACAAAATTCTTCAAATTACTTTGTCCAGTAAAGATTTCCCTGATGTCATTCTTATCTAGAAAAACAACCACAAGGACTTGTTCTACAAAAACCTGAAGAAGCTCCAAAGGAGAGAAGTTGTAAGTGCTTCAGCCTTGTAGCATGGGAAGCAGAGTTAGGAACACTACTTTGGGGTGCCTCCTACAGCCCCACCTCATACACCTGTTTGCTGTGGAACACAGGAGATAGGTACATTTTACCTCTGTATCTTGCAGTAACTTACAGAATCCATTTCCTTCTCTCCATAGCACAGAGTCCCCCTTCAAGGATTTCTGCTGAGTTAGAGCTCAATAAACTGTTTCATAGTATTGCAATTCAACTTGCACATGCAACTGTGTGGAGGAGCTCAGCAGGGCAGAGCTGCTCCCAGAACCATAAGCCTGCCCTGCCCTTGTGACACACCAGTGTTTGATCACAGCTTGTTAAAACACTGCTGAAACCTTGCCAAAAGGAACTCAGCTCTGCTTCTAGCTCCTCTATAGTCTGTTTCATCCCACTGGGGCTTGGTTCTCAACTGCGGAACAAGAGATAAACAGCTCAAACATGCTCTGTGAGTATGGATTTGGGAGGGCTTTGGTCTGAACACCACTTTCCTGCAGGGATGACTGTGAGACACAGCCCTGGATACTCCATAGCCAAGCTAACACTTGGCTTCAGCTTCTCACTGTCATGTTGCAAGCAGAACACCTGTGGTAGCAGTATTGACACAGCTCTGTGCAGCTGAGCTAGCAGCAGCACATTCAGAGCCTGGTGTGCATGAGACACTCCAGCTCTTAGATGCACTAAGGCTCCAGTAACAGAAGCCAATTCAAACTACTGGAATGCTCAGACATGGTGAGCAGAACCCCAGCCTCTGAAGCCTTTGCTGTTTTCTCTCCTTTCTGAAGAACAGTTGCTCCTCCAAAGAATTAACATGACAACTCCATTTTGCTCAGCTTCACCTGGAGATTTTCTACTCCACTTAGGATTGATAACAGAGAAAAAAAACTTGCATTTCCCACAAGCAGCAAAATGTGTGAGACAGACTCTGAGACACTAAATGGAGCAGAATGGACTCAGAATGCAAGCATCAGTTCAGAGCAGTGGAGATGCTGCAAGCTGAAAGCAGAGCAGCGAAATCTGCGAGTGCAGGCAGTGTTTCACTCACCTGCCTGTCAAGTGAGTCACTTACATTTCAACAGCACCGAAGTACAGCCTGCATCTCCAAGGCACCCAGTAACAAACTACTGCAAACACAGGGCCATTACTTCCCTGGCAGCCTCAGATGTTATAAAAGAAGCAGGTGCTTCCATTCACACTGACCTGACAAAGCTCTGTAGTTTAATTTTCACAAGGAAAACAGGGCTTACAGACCATAGCCAGATGCTTGAGCTGCCCTCGCCACTGCTTTAAAAGTGCACTTCTAAAGTAAAATGCAGAAAGTTACTCCATTATTTCCAGTGTCCCATTAGCAGCTGGCAGGCAGAGTCTATAGGCAGCCTCACAAGAGGAGCTGCTTATGTGGCCACGTTCCAAGCCTGTGCTTCCCCAGGTCCTGCTGTGAGTGAGGACTTGTGTTTGCAGAGCAGCATCCCAAGCACACCCACTGCAGCTGTCATTATGACTACTGCTCAAGACAGCCTTGTTTTTAAACAGCTACAGCTGCTGCGTCTACGTGTAGCTTTGCTTTTCACAAGCTCAAACTTCACTTGAAGAGTAAACATGTCTTTGTCTGACTTGATTTGGGGAATTCAATCTATCCAGCTGACTGGTCTTGGAGCAACTTTACACGTCTCTACATTCAGAAGACTCCGATCCTGATTAAATCATTTGAAACATTTTGTGTTTAAAATAATAAGGTTAGAAAAAGCTGAACAATAAGTTGGCCTGTTGCTCCCAGAAAAGTACTTAGAGGCCACTTCTACTTCGCTGTCACCATCACCACACAGGGAAATAGTCTGTAAAATGTTGCTAATGCAGTTTTGCAAGGATAACCAGAATTTTCAGACTTCACAGAAAATACTCACAGCACTGCCATGTTACTGACACCCCCTGACTCCGTACAGTTCACCTGGAGCAGGAAACACCTGACCTCTAAGCTAATGGAGCACGCCTTTTGCCATTTAGCCACAGCATTCTTTCCAAATAATGCAGCCACGACTTGGCACTTTACACCAGCAAGCAGATGTTTCATTGTCCTCCATCCAATTTACCACTGGCTGATAAGAACAAGCACAGAATCCAGCAGAACACTGACAGCTACCTGAAGCACTTGGCCATCAAGAGCTGTCAGCATGCAGACTGAAGAGGATACTGCAATCCATTCCAGGGAGTCAAGACCTCACACAAATCCTATCTTTTCCAGACACTGACCTGAAAAAGGCATTTACAATTAATACGAAAGTAGTGCTTTTGGGTGAGAAGAACCTTATCCAGCTGCACTTGGCAGGATTCAAAAGCAGCGCTGCCTGGAGGTATTTCAGCAATAAGAAAGGCACTTCATCTTCTACATTTCTTCAAGCACCAGTTTTTAACATAGCCTAATAAATATTTGTAATACATCTTACAGTGAAGTCCTTACAAACACTTGTTAATGAGGCAGCACAGATGTGTGGAATAAGACCTGCAGGACTCCGATTCCCTTGCGTTGCTTCTTTCATCACATGCAGGCCCATTAGTTAGGCTGCAGGCAGCTCATGCCCTCTGCTGCTCAACCTGAACCAACCCAGCGGTTGCTTTGGCCACAACAGACACATAAATCTCTGCAATAGAGATTAAAGGTTCAGATGCAGAGGGACTACATTGCCCGAATACAGAATGGGGACCCAACAGATGCAGACAAAGATATAAAAATAAATAAATGAAAAATCTGATATCTACTAACTAGTTTTAGATTCTCTTTTTCCTCTAATAAGAGGAAACAAAAACAATTTCTCATAGCTGAGCTTCTCTCTTGTGATGAGAAACTTGAACACAAAGAACAGGATGCAGTTTTAAGACTTTCAGAATCATTATTATCAACTGTATCTGCCCTGACAGACAAGCAATTTTCAGGACACTTCCCACCTACTAAATAAATCTTCTACTGCCTTGTAAAAGGAAACCTGCTTTAAGGCATTTAAAGGAGTGAGTAAATATTCCTTTGGAAGTTCACTTGGAAAGTCCTCATCAGAAAGAAGCAACTGCCCAGCAGTGCCAGCTGCCATTGCACCCCCTGGCTGTTCTCTACTCGGCTCTTCCTCCTCACAGTCATAAAAACAAATATGTTCAAGGGAGCAGAAAGCTGACTCATGGGAGTTCTGCTGAGGAGCCGTAAGAGCCCTGAGCCCGTCAGATTGCTCAGTATGTTCCTCTAGGGACTCATAAACAACTCCTTTGGGCACAGAGCGCTGGGCAGCTCTTTTCACAAGACACACAGGTTTCTGCTTCTTTGTTTTGCTCTGCCGCTGTACAGACACCTGCAGAGGCTTCGGAATTCCAAGGCCAGGAGGTGCCTGGTGGTCAGGACTCAGGTATTTCTGAAAGGAAGTGTGGCACGTGCTGTCTTTCACAATCGGGATGACCGAGCAGGGTTTCAACCACCTCACAAACTCACACAACTCTGAAAAGGATGAATGATCCGAGTACGGGATGAGGTGGATCTTGGGGTGGGTGACCTTCACGGGCCTGCCCGTGGGGAGGATGGCAATGGTCGGATGCCGCACGTTCCAGCTCACAAGGGTGTCCCAGCGGATCTCAGCGACGTCCACCGCATGGATCCTGCCAGCCCCCTCCTCCGTCGTGAACACCTCAGGCAGCTCCAGCAGCCGCATCTGCTCCAGGCGTGAGGGGCTCACCACGACCCACGTGCTGAACTCGAGCGCCAGGTCCACCAGCAGCTCCTCCTTCCCCAGGCTGTACACACCTGCAGGAGAGCCGTCAAAGAATCATAGAATCACTCAGGTTGGGAAAGACCTTAAAGATCATCGAATCCAACCATGACCTAACCATACTACCCTAACTAACAAACCTCTGCTAAATCACATCCCTGAGCACCACATACAAATATTTTTTAAACACATCCAGGATGGTGACTCAGCCACCTCCCTGGGCAGCCTATTGCAGTGCTTAACAACCCTTTCTGCAAAGAAGTTTTTCCTGATATCCAACCTAAACCTCCCCTGATGCAACTTGAGGCCATTTCCCCTCGTCCTGTCACCAGTGAGACCAACCCCTCTTGCTGTAAGCACTTTTCAGATATTGGAAGAGAGCAGTAATGTCTCCCCCCTCAGTCTCCTCTTCCCCAGATCAAACAGCCCCAGCTCCTTCAGTCTCTCCTCACAGGCCACATTCGCCAAGCCCTTCCCCAGCCTCGCTGCCCTTCTTAGGCCCTGCTCCAGCACCTCCATGTTCGTTCTGTACTGAGGTGCCCAAAACTGAACAGAGCACTTGAGGTGAGGCCTCACCAGTGCTGAGTACAGGGCAGGATGACTTCCCTGGTTCTGCTCACCACAGCATTCCTGATCCAAGCCAGGATGCCATTGCCCCTCTTGGCCACCTGGGCACACTGCTAGCTCACATTCAGCCAACAGTCCATCAACACACCAGGGTCCCTTTCCATCAGGCAGCTTTCCAGACAAAAACTCCTCCCCAAGCCCGTAGGCTTGCCTTGCGGTTGCTGCGACCAAAATGCAGGATCCAACACTTTACCCTACTGAACCTCAGCACCACGGCATACCGGGGGGAGATGCAGGAACGGCTCTGGGCTGCACTCACCGATGACGACGCGGTGCTGCGGGTGCTGGCGGATGAGCTGCGCGGCCTGGTGTGCAGCCCGGCTCCTGGAGGGCAGCGCGCGCTGCAGCCGGCAGTTGGTGTTGTCCAGGTAGAGGCGGTCGATGCGGCGGCCGCTCAGCACTGGCTCGTGCTGCATGGCGCGGCTGTAGCGGAAATCCCCTGCAGAACAGGGCCGTCAGGGCGGGCGGGGCGGCGGGGCGACCGCGTTTCCCACCCCGTACCTGTGTAAAGGATGGTGCCGAAGGAGCCCTCGAAGAGAAACATGACGGAGCCGGGGCAGTGGTTGGCATCGAGCAGCGTCACGGTCACCTCCTCGCCTACCACGTGGCTCTGCCCCACCTCCAGCGGGCGGATCCAGTGTGTGGGCACCTGCGGGCGGGCGGGCGTGAGGACCGGGGGGAACGGGATGGGACGGGACAGGACGGAACTGGACAGGACGTACCTTTAGGCGGTGGTGCAGCAGGCGGGCGGTGAGCGGCGAGCAGTACAGCGGGCGGCTCCAGGTGCTGGACAGCCCTACCGTGTGGTCCGAGTGCATGTGTGACAGGAAGAACAGCCGCGCGCCGCCCGCCCGCCGCACGCTCCAGAAATCCACGGCGATGGGCGTGCCGGGAATCACCGTCCCGTTCATGGCGCCGGGGCGCGGGGAGCGCGCGGACGAAGACGGCGCCGCCGCCGGTTCCCGCCGAATTCGGCGCGCGACGTCGCGCACGCGCGGGAGCGGAGGGGAGAGAAGGGAAGGGGAGGGGCGGCGCGTGCGCGGTGGGGCGCGGAGCCGAGCGGAGCGGGGGCCGTGCGACCATGCCGTACCTGGGCGGCGAGGAGGTGCTGCGCGATTTGCGGCGCGCGCTGAGCAACCCGCACGTGCAGGCGGAGCCGCTGCGGTACCGCGCCGCCGTGCTGCGAGTCATCCGGTGCGGGGCGGAGCGGCGCGGGGCGGCGGGAGGGAGGGGGTCAGCCGAGGGCCGGGGCCAGCTGACGGCCGCGCCGTGTCTGCCGCAGGCTCATGACGCAGGGCGCGGACGTGTCGGGGTTGTTTGCGGAGATGGTGAAGGCGGGCGCGGCGGCCGACGTGGTGCAGAAGAAGTTGGTGCAGCTGTACGTGTGCGCGCACGCCCCGCGCATGCCCCGCTTGGCGTTGCTGGCTGTCAACACGCTGCGACGGGACTGCGCCGATCCCAGCCCTGCCGTGCGCGGCCTGGCGCTGCGAGGACTCTGCGACCTCAGGTGGGTGCGGGGATCCGGGCTCTCCTCTGTCATCTCTACGCTTGTCCCGTATTTCCTGCCCCGGCAGCACTCAGCCCTCGCTCTGAGGAAGGGCCCTCAGTGACCCCGTGAGTGGCGTCCCCCAGGGCTCTGTCTCGGGACCGGAGCTCTTTAGCATCTTTATCAATGAGATGGATGATGGAGAGTGCGCCCTCGGCAATACCAGGCTGAGTGGTGCCGTTGACACGGTGGAAGTAAGGGATGCCATTCAAAGGGACCTCAGCAAACTCAAAAAGTGGGCCTGGGTGAATCTAATGATGTTGAATACAACAGTGTGCAAAGTTTGGCACTTGGGCTGTAGGAATCCCAGGCATTTATACAGACTGGAAGGAGTGGTTCTTGAGAGCAGCCCTGCAGAGAAGGACCTGGGGGTCCTGATGGATGAAATGCTTAACATGCGCCAGCAGTGTGTGATTACAGCTTGGAAAGCAAATGGGATCCTGGGCTCCATCAGCAGAGGGGTGGCCAGCAGGGACAGGGAGGTGATCGTCCCCCTCTGCTCTGCTCTTGTGAGGCCCCATCTGCAGTGCTGTGTCCAGGTCTGGAGCCCCCAGTACAAGAAAGACAGGGAGCTGTTGGAGAGGGTCCAGAGGAGCCACAAAGGTGATCAGGGGGCTGCAGCACCTCCCTACAAGGACAGGCTGAGGGAGCTGGGCTTGTTCAGCCTGGAGAAAAGAAGGCTGCGGGGTGACCTCATTGCAGCCTGCAGTACCTAAAGGGAGCCTACAAACAGGAGGGGAATCAACTCTTGGAAAGGGGAGATAACAGCAGGACGAGGGGAAATGGTTTGAAATTGAGGGAGGGAAGATTGAGGTTGGATGTCAGGGGGAAGTTCTTTCCTATGAGAGCAGTGAGGTGTTGGAACAGCTGCCTAGAAAGTTGTGGATGCCCCGTGCATCCCTGGAGGTGTTCAAGGCCAGGTTGGATGGGGCCCTGGGCAGCCTGGGCTGGTATGAAATGTGGAGGTTGGTGGCCCTGCGTGTGGCAGGGGGTTGGAGCTTCGTGATCCTCGAGGTCCCTTCCAACCTGGGCCATTCTGTGATTCTGTGTGACCCGTCCCTGCTGCCCACAGGTTGCCCGGCATGCAGGAATATGTGCAGCAGCCCCTCCTGAATGGCCTGCGGGACAGAGCCTCCTACGTGCGCAGGATTGCTGTGCTGGGCTGTGCCAAGGTGCACAGGCTGCAAGGAGACACCGAAGTGGGTGAGCTGGCAGGCACTGCGCTGTCACTGAGCATGGAGGGACGTGGCAGGTTGGTCTGGGCTGTCCTGGGCCACTGCAAGGTCGTGGGCAGGAGGAGGGAAACAGCCCAGGGCTGAGCATGGTGGGGAGCCGAGGGCTGGCATCACGCCGTCCCATCGCACGTCCTTCCACGTGGCTGTGCCAAAGGCTGCTGTAGAGTGAGAATATTGGTGCAGCACTTTTGCTTCTTTGCAGACGGTGCATTGGTGAATGAGTTGTACAGCCTGCTTCGTGACCAGGACCCTATTGTGGTGGTGAACTGTCTGAGGGCTTTGGAAGAGATCTTGAAGAAAGAGGGAGGAGTTGTCATCAACAAACCTATTGCCCATCATCTCCTCAACAGGTTTGTCTTCTTCCATATCAGAGGTGGCACTGGAAGCCTGGTTCTGTCTGTTGCATTTTGTACAGATAGCAGTGAGTGCTTCTGGGCTCCCATCAGAACTGGAAATGTCAGACACCCTAAAGGTGAAGGTGCCCATCCTAAAAGCAAATCAGTCGTTTTTGTGCTAAGGTCTTAAGAGAAAATCTTAGTGCCCAGCTTTTCCAGAGAGTCTGCTTCAGCCGCTGCTTTGCTTGGAGTTGTAAGTTAATGCAATTATCCTTTAAAATCATGGCACTGCACGTGATGTATTTGTGGTACAAGGATGTTCTGGTTTGTTTCTCCCAATCACTTGTAAGATACGTGACATATATATCATCTGCAGATACCAACTTTTTTCCCTATGTGTAGCAAAATGATCTGGAAAAGCAAGGTGCTGCTGTGACCAGGGATCTTGTTGGTGTTTCTCTGTCTCTCTAAGCTCTATGTCAGCAAAAGTGCATGTGATTGACACTGAGTTAAGCCTATAACATGTACATTGGTTGGTCCTTTTTAGATGGAATTGTGGTCTCACAAAAAAAAACACAGTGTTTGATGGGAGTGGAGACTGTAGCAACCTAAGGGCTGCAGCCTGCACTCTGCACAGCACAGATCCTTACGCACTCCCTGACTCCTGCACACGGTGTTTATTTCCTTGGCAGGATGGCTGACCTGGATCAGTGGGGGCAAAGCGAGGTGCTTGCCTTCCTTCTGCGTTACAGACCCCGCACTGAGGAGGAGCTGTTCAACATTCTCAATCTGCTGGATGGATATCTGAAAAGCAGCAGCCCCAGCGTTGTGATGGCAGCCACCAAGCTCTTCCTCGTGCTGGCCAAGGAGTACCCACACGTGCAGGCAGATGTTTTGGTGAGGGTGAAGGGACCACTGCTGGCTGCCTGCACCTCGGAGAGCAGGGAGCTGTGCTTCACTGCTCTGTGCCACGTGCGTCAGATCCTCGGGAGTCTTCCTGGCCATTTTAGCAGCCACTACAAAAAGTTCTTCTGCTCGTATTCAGAACCCCATTACATCAAATGCCAGAAGATGGAAGTGTTGTGCGAGCTGGTGAATGATGAGAATGTGCAACAAGTGCTGGAAGAGCTGAAGGGCTATTGCACTGATATATCAGTGGAGCTGGCCCAGGGGGCGATCTCTGCCATAGGTGAGAGCTCTGCCTTGCTTCAGAAGCAGCTGCAGCCCTCAGTCTTAAGGTCGGCCTTTCTCTGCTGAAGTATTTCTGCATGCATTCCAAATAACTGATCTGTGCTGAAGCCCCAGGTCAATCCTGCTCCCCAGGGATGTTTTGTGTGTGTTTATAAACCACAAGGATGCTGGTTCATCCAGACGTCCCGGTGCTGAGCTGTTTCAGGCTGCATATTATGCCTTCAATCTTTTTCAGATGTCAACACTCTGAGGAGATGCTCCAAATAAACAAATGAATGGGAAGGTTGAATTAAATAATTTCATCTTAAATGAGCCTGATAGTGTTGAGTCTTAGTGGAACTGTAGCAGGTGGATGAGCTGCTTTAATACTTGCTTGTTGTTTGAGTTGTGGTGGAGGCAGAGTTCAGGTGATTTGGGGCAGTTTGGTTTCATTTTTTCAACTTCGAAAATATGTAAGTTTTTATAGCATTCTTTAGGAGAAAGCCAGGGATGCTAAAATGTTTTTCTCATTGCTCTGTTAAGAAAAGTGCAGACTTTCTCAGAGGTATGGCTTCAGAAAAAGGAACGTGTGCCTTGTGTGAGAATATGTGCTCACCTGACTGTCAGAAAATTGTCAAAGAAGAGAGAAGACGACTGTTTCTTTAAAACGAGTTTGTGATGAATAGTTGGGCTCGTGGTTGACTCGTATCCTTGTTGTCTCTGCAGGCAGTATTGCTAGGACATACACAGAACAGTGCGTGGGGATTCTGACAGAGCTCTTGGGGCTTCAACAGGAGCACATCACGTCAGGTAATCATCTTTGTGTTATTTGCATGGCTTAAGCTCCCAGGAAGTGGCTTTGCTGAGGCTTGTGGTCCCAAAACTTGAGGCTCTAGGAGGCACCTGACATTTAATTTACTTGGTGTCTCCAGGTAGAAGTCTGGTTGTGTGGGGATGTGGAATGTGACCGGACATTGTAGGTTTTCTTCCTTGGAGGTGGTGATGGCTGCGCTCCTGGTCTGATATGATATGGAGGCTCTTTTCTGGCTGCCTTCTGTTGACTCCAAAGGATGAAGGCAGAGGCATTTTATTAACTCTTTGTGAAGGCCCTGATGGTTAATAGGTCTAATTTTGAGTTCTTTCTGGCTGGTTCTCCTAGTTTCTGTCTTTTAAGTCTTCCTGATTTCTTTTCCTCATGTAACAGTCGGATTCAACTCAACCCAGACTTCTGCCTTTTTCTTCTGCTGTCCTCAGATCTAACTTCCCTTAGCTATTTCTGCCCTCTTTGTAATGCTCTTGCTTTCAGCTTTCAAAGTCACATGCTTACAGTCAGCTCTTGAATTGGGCATTAATAGCTGCTGGAGGTTCTGTAAGGGTGCAACAGAGCCTTTAACATTTTGGGCTAAAGTTCATGTGATGCATTTTGAATTGGTGTTAGCTTCAGTTTGTTTTTCTAACCTTGTGTGCCTGAGACATCGTGAGTCAGTCTCTAAAGGCTGGGGAATGTCCAAAAGGGAGATTACTTTCCAGAAGCAAGAGGAACAATGTGAAGTTTCAGTACTTTATTTTAGGCGTGGTGTAACTGTGCTCTGACAGGGGCAGCATATTGGGATTTTGAAGGAGAGTGTCTCAAATCATAGTCATGACCTCCCTAGCTAAAACTTTGCAAAGTCTTTTGACTCTTTTTTTTTTTTTTTCATTTATGTTTTATTTTTACTTATTTTGCCTAATGGTTTTATAATTCTTGGGGAATGCTGAGAATTTTGTTTCATTGCAGCTGTAGTACAGGCTTTTCGGGACCTGGTTTGGCTGTGTCCCCAGTGCACAGATGCAGTGTGTCAGGCACTGCCTGGCTGTGAGGACATCATCCAGGACAGTGAGGTAAGGTGGCTTTAGATTTGTTCTCGTGTCTCTTGATTTCATGTCAACACTGTTAATGTAGCTATTCTGTGAAACAGAATGTGCTCTTTTTTGGTGCCTTCAGGGGAAGCAAGCACTGATCTGGCTCCTTGGTGCACATGGTGAGAAAGTACCAAACGCCCCCTATGTGTTAGAGGACTTGGTGGAGAATGTGAAAACAGAGGTGTTCCCAGCAGTGAAGATGGAGCTCCTGACAGCGTTGGTGCGACTTTTCCTGTCTCGTCCTGCTGAGTGTCAGGACATGCTGGGGAGGCTGCTCTATCACTGCATAGGTAGGTTTCCTCTTGCAGCATTCTGCTTCATTGCAGCAGTAGTACAGGCTTTTGGGCACCTGTTTTTGACGCGTCCCTGGTGCACTGATGCAGTGTCAGCATCCTTGCAATGACCATCGAGGGTGGCAAAGTGATGTAGTTTTATGCATTAGGCTGCGTCTTGTCCCTGATAGGTGAGTGTGACAGGCTTACACTGTAGCCCTGGGAATGGATTTTTAATATTTAGGGGTCATGAAATCTGGGGAAAAATCTGAATGCTCAAATTCTCTACAATCTGTTGCTCAAATTTGCAGAGGAGGAGAAAGATATGTCAGTACGAGACCGTGGGCTGTTCTACTATCGCCTCTTACAGTCCGGTGTGGATGAAGTGAAACGGGTTCTGTGCAGCCCCAAGTCAGACCCTTCCCTGGGGCTCCTGGAGGACCAAACAGAACAACCTGTGAATACGTGGGCATCTGAGTTCAACACCCTCGCACCTATTTATGGCAAAGCACGTTGGGCACTTGTCACTGCTCACCAGCCAGGGGAGCCCTGTTACGCTTTTTCTCCTTGTACAGACTCTGGGAACGGGGGCACAGGTAACCAGCATCACCCTCACAGTTTCCTCTTGTCAGTAGACATCCTCACGTGAGTTCCTTTGGAAAAAGAACACAGTGCTTTGACAACACTTTAGTGTTCTTAATATCTTGTGCAATGCCTGGTTGATCACCGCCCCATTAGCCCAGGGAGGCTGCTGCTGAGGGTGCTGTAATTCCAGCCTTCATCTGATGGCCCCCTGGGATGTTCTGTGTGAAACTGGTAATAGGGGAATAAAAACTGCATCTCATTTGTTTATGCTTTGATTTCAGAGTCGCTGATTTCTGAAGGGAGTAAGGAAGTCCTCAAGGTTCATCCTGATACAGGCAGCCTTACCTTAATTCCTGATGTCGTCCTGACTGCAGAACAGTTTGAGAAGACCTGGCTGAGCCTGGATGTTGGCTGCCAGCAGTCTCTGCCCTGGATTGGAACAGTTCATCCAGATACTATCCAGACTGCTCTTCATGTCGTCCACATCCGGACCATTGCTATGAGCAAAGCTGGTGTCCAGCCATGGAAAGCTTATTTCATTGCTCAGGATGACAGTGGTTGCCTCTTCCTGACAGAGCTATTGCTCGAGGCAGAAGATTCAGGGATGCAGGTTGCAGTGAAGCAGAGTGAGGCAAAGCCTGAGGCACTGCAGGCCTTCATGTCTGTGTTCAGGACTGCTGTGGAGGCAGTTGCTGGGCTCAGATCCTGATGGGTCTCTGTTCCTTGTGGGGTGATTGCTCAGGTCATAGGAAGAGTTTTCTCCTCTGGCTTCAGTTTGCCATTCTTGATGCAAGTTTTGTATTTCTGAACTGCAGAAGTGTTGTCAGCATTGGGCAAAGGAGAGCTACAGCTGCAGCTCAGTGCTGCTGTGCAGAGCTACTGAGGCTGGTGAGCAGGATAGGGTAAAGGGCATCTTCCCCTGTGCTGGGGAAAGGACAGGATAATAATGTGTGCAAGCCTGCTGCTGCTGATCTAAGTCAGAAATGCTGGCACCTGCCGTGATTGTCACAAGACACCAGTGTGACTGATGGAACCAGAAGTGAGCAAAATTCAGGGCAGTGTTTTGGACAGGTTTTTTTTTTGGTTTTTTTTTTTTTTTTTTGGTTTTGTTTTTGTTTTTTTTTTGTGAGAATTGTAATTAATTCAAAAACCATTGCATCGTTCTCATGAGGAAGGACAGAAAGTTTCACCTGGTCAGCCCCAGCTCTCACTCTTCCCACTACAGTAGCTTTTGGCCAGGACACAGAAACAGGAAATGATCCAGCTGTGCTATGTGTTCCACTCCACTGAGCGTTCTGTACAATGGCAAAACCAAAGGAAAATTCCCTGGTTTAAGGTTGCAGGTTACTGTTGTGGTGCCTGTTGTGCAGGGCAAGGCATGGCTTTGTTAACCCTATTCTCTAATCTCGAAGTGCTTAATTTCTCCAAACGACTGTATTGTATCTCAGAATGCACTTCACTGATTCACTGCTGCCCCTGTCAGACAAGTCTTAAATTTCTTTTCTGATTTTTCCTAATAAAGAAGTGAATCATTCCTGGCTGCTTTCTGGAGTGTTTGTTCACAGGACTCCTGCCTGAGCTCTGCAGGATGGATTCACGTGGTCACAGCAGATCCTGCCTTCATTTTACACAGAACTTTTTCTCTCCACTTCTCTTAAGAAAACTTTTAAAAAGCAGTTGTGCAATAATTTATTTCAGTCTTGTGTGCCAAGTTATTGTAATACCCAAACTATCTAGGAGTGAAGTGAAATGCAGATAAAGGAAGTTGAGTGTAGTAGGTTTCCTATACCATTTTCCAGTCTCTTTAAGTACAGGAATACAACACATGCATTTGGGGGAGTCCTTTGCAGCACTCATTTGAGGCAGTTTTTACTCGACAAGCCTCACCTTGATGGCTTGCTGGCAAACAACCCTTCATTCAGCTGTGGCTGCACTGCATGGTGTGCTGATCTGGGGTAGGACTTCAAGATTCTACCTTCTGTCCAGCTACCTTTCCTGATAAATGAATGAGTCAACGATGATCCTTGGCTTCATGTAATTCTTCAGTTAATTTTATCTCCATGGCAATGCCTTATTCTGAAACTAAGCCACGCCTGTAGTTTGAGTAATCATGGTTGAGGGCAAAGGTTGTGCAGCCCTCAGGAGGGGCCTGCAGCCATGCTGCTCCCGGAAGGACGGGAAAAGGAGGGTAGCATTCAGAGGCGCTGCTCAGCCCGAGGGCTGGGAGGCATTCCTGTCTGCCAGCAGCTTCGGGTGAGAAAGCTGCCATGAGGACTTTTGAGGAACAGACAGCATGTGTTGTGGAAGCCTTATTTGATGATCTCCTAAACGAGGATGAAGCCGATTTCCGATGCCTGCAGACAGACTCAGGAGGTGAGGCCTGCAGTTCAGTGCAGATCCTTCTTGCTGAGGATGCTGGAGAGATGTAAAGGCAGGAGGAGCAGCTTGGTGCCAGGTGTTGGGGTTTTTTTATCTTGTGATGAGCTCCGAGTTGTGTCCCTGCTGGGGGATAAGTTAAAGTGGGGTGGGGCTGTCAGAAGCCCACAGAGACCACAGCTGCAGCCTGCCTTGGTGGGACGTGGGGGCAAAGTCCCCATCAGCCCCCGCCCGGTTTCCTTCCTCTGGGGCAGATGGGTTGCACCCAGGTGTGGGATGTCCCTGCGGGCCTGCAGCTCCAGCCTGGGCAGCGGGGCAGGATGTGCTGCAGGAGAGCAGGGTGCACATTACTCTGTTGAAAGGTCCTGTTTTCAGTTCCTTATGGCTTTGTGAAGCTTGGAAATACTTCTGCTGAAGTTCTCGGTGACGGGTATCTCCTTCAGGCTGAACATTCAGAACAAAGAAAACCAAAACCTTTTTATCTCGGCATATTTTTATGGAAAATTTTTTAACAGAGGGAAAAAAAAAAAAAAAAGCAATAACCCCACTTTAAGAAGCTGAGCTGAGAAGTTCTAATGCTTTTATGAGCCTGAAATCCGCGCAGTGTGCCTTTGAAAACCTTCCCAAGTTTGGATCGCTCTGTGGCTCTGTCTTCTTCCTCTCTTCTCTGCCTTGCCGTGCATTACACCCTAACCCCACAGCCTGCTCCCTCCTTTCCTTGTTTCAGGGTCCGTGCAGTCTGAGGAAGAGCCAAGTGGGTTTGACCCCGTTATTATTGCCAGTCGTCTGCGGCAGATCGGCGATCAGTGCAACATGGATTTTGAAAGGGTTTCCTCACAGGTTCTTCATGAAGTTCTCATGGGGAAGGTAAAGGACACCTCATCCCGCCTGGCCCTGGGCTGCTCTTTGCTTGTAGGCCAGCCTGCAGCTTTTCTTGTATTGGAGAACAGCAAAAGCCTAGGGAGGAATGCACCTTGTGCTGTAGGAGGCAGGGATGCCTGAGGAAAAGGGACGTGGCAGCCAGCAGCCTGCCAGCAGGACCCGCTTGGTTCTTTGCCTTTATCCAGATCACTGACCTCTCACAACTTTTCTCCTTGTCTCTTCCAAAGGAGCTGATTCCAAGGACCTGGCACTGCACAGGCTGACCTGTCGTTGCAGGAGATAAGATGCAGTTTAGGGCTGGTGAGGGGGCAAATGCTGTGTGTAAGAGAAAGACTGAAGAGGGGAGACAGTGTGCTCCAGGGAGCAGGGCTTCAGCTTGCCCAGAAGTCAGAGCCAGCACAGTTTTGGTGCATGTTCTGCTTGTAGTTCTAGTTTAAGGTTCTCTGCAGCTCTGGTTAAAGCTGTCTTGCCTAGATCTGCAGACATGCTTCCCACTGCTCTCATTTGTGCAAGCCATAGTAAGGAGAGAGCCCTGCCTTGGGCATCCTGTGCTGTGTGGGTACCACCAGGAAGCTGTGGGGGACACCTGCTCCAGTTGTGAATACAGTAAATAAATACAAGAATTTAACTGAATGTTGATTGAGAGCCAAGACTTGCTTATTACGCTATCTCTTAAAAAGAAGAAGCTCAAACTGCCCTCTTGATGCTTGCAGATGGAGAAATTTGGGGCTGCTGTGGATTCTCTCTGCAAAAGGTGGAGTGACCAGAACCCTGAGCTGGTCTATGAGAGAGCTTTTCTCTCTGTTTCTGTGAAACTGATGATGTATATTCTTAAGAAAGGAGCTGCTAATGTCAATCCTGGTCACCTCGTAAAAGCAATTAATGAAAATGCTCAAGTGAAAAACTACATTGAGACCCTTGGAGGATGGGTAAGCATGTGAAGTTTGTGGTCCTGTGTGCCTGAACATTGCTGGCTCCATTCCTTTGTTTCTCTGAGCTTTCCTATGTGCTGTTCTGCCTGGCGTCTGCTCTCAAACCCACTCATCAGCTAACACTGCAAGTAGCTGTGCAAACAGCTTTGCACAATGCCTTGGTGAAGATCTACTGAAGTCAGCATCAAACTTCCCATCTGCGTCAGGAATTAATTCCTTATCACAGTGCCTTGGGAGCTAAGCTTGCTGCATTAGTTTGGAATCAAAGTACTGGGGATTATTCATACAAAAAGCACTTTCCTGCTCATGTAGCTCTATGGACACCACCTGGTGTGTTTTATCGGTGGAACAATGCAGTCAGGCTGGGAGAGGTCGCAGTGGAAGATGCAAAGCGTGCCTTGCCTTCCTGCATCTTTCCTGTTCTGCCAGCAACTTCAGACCCACCTGAAATCTTTCCTCTAAAATACACACAAGGGTTGGTTTTGTTTTTTTTTTTGTTTCCAGGAGAAGTTGGACAACTGAGAGACAACCTTCCAGAATGTGAAGCTGGGATTTTCATTGATTTAACTGGGACAATTGCTTTTGTATTTCTTCAGGAGATTGCTAGAAGAACCATAATTTGTAAAGAAATTCTGTATCACTACGAATAAAAAGGAATAAATGTTTGCTGTTATTTGTTTTTCTTCTTGCGTTTCTCATAAATGTGGCCATGAAAGTGGGTTTGGGATGCCACGACTTGGACAGGCAACCCGACAAAGATCCCATACTGTTGTGTGTTCATGAGGCTCCAGGAGGCTCTCAGCAGTCGGAGCACCCAGGTGTGGGGCACCCAGCTCTGGCCCCCCCCAGCTCCTGACCCTCTTTGTCACGCAGACACGAGCACACGTGGTTCTACATGGAGGCACTAGGGCCCAGAGCTGTGTTTTGTTTTGTTGTTTGGCCACGGTATCTGTTACGCACTAATTTCCTTTAAGGCTGATGATGAAGTCAGTAAACCACAGCCTGCAGCGAGTGCTCTGTGCGCTGGTGCTTTCCGCTGTGACTCGCACTTGACATGTTCGCTCCTGCTCTTGGCAGGCCAGCCTCGCTCCATCTCTTCCAGCATGGACCAAAGGGAAATCCTGCTGCAGAACCTGGAAAGAGCCCAGAGCAAGAAGCTCAACCAAGAAGCATTTGCAGATGAGTTTTTGGTAAGTTTGCTTTAAGGTACAGATCCGTGTTTGAATTTATTTAAAAGAGATCTGCTCGGTCAGCGCTCCACAGACGGGAGATGAAACTTTGCGTGTGACAATAAGATTTTGAATGCATTTTAAAGCAAAAAGAGACGTGGGAGTTAACTAGAGTAAAAAGAATGTAAAGACAGAAGAGTAATCTAATGGTTTGCATTCAAAGTGAAACTGTTTGTTTTTTAAAATAATTTACCAAGTGCTTCCTGTTTTCTACTGAGCGAATTCTCTTGTCTGGATACAGTTTCGGTTTGCCCTGTTGCTGCAGTGGGGACACGCTGAGCAGCAGTGATAGTGCCACTCACTGCCTCTTCTCTGCTGCAATAGGCTGCATCTGTGATGTGTGCTCCTGTTGGGAAGCTCTAGTTGCTACGTGAAAAAGTTCTTTGCTTTTTTTTTCTCACTAGAAGCCCCTCAGTCACACCCCCTGCAGAACAGGGCATGAGCGTTCAGATAGGTGCTTGTGGACCTGAGGTTGGTTGTGCCATGGATGTACGGCACCCTGGCCAAGGCAGGAGGGCTGTGCTGACTGCTTCTGCAGCCTCCAGCACTGTACTGCGTTACATGGAAGGCTCAGGCATTCATCTGGAATGAGTACATGTGCCTTAATATCTGCTAGTGCTCCTGCCTCCTCCTGGAAGCAAATTTCTTATTTCTTAAAGGCAAAACTAGCAGAAATTGCTGATGGCTCTTGTCTTCCCCAACGTTCTGCAGTATCTGGCTGGTGAAAATCTGTGCAGTATCCAGGTCTGCTAGCTCTCTGCCAGCCTTGTGGTTGTTTGGCTGGGAGGGGTGAGCCTCAGATGGCAATGCACAGTCCTGTGCTGATGGCTGGTGATGGCTCCTGGTGGGTCGGTGGGAGAGTCTGGACTGCTCCAAGCACTGCTCAGCTTCAGAAGACATAGGGAAGGGCTAAACTAGTGCATCTGTAAGGCCTGAGATGTCTCAGACAAATACCAGGACAAACACTGGCCCCTACTTCTCCCCCAAGGGCTGTGCCAGGCAGCAAGCCTGGGGGCTGCTCATCAAACCCGTGAGATCCAGCCCTGCTCTGATGCGCCAGTGAAATCTTCACTTCAAACACTTGGGAAAAGCTTAGTGCTCTACTTCCAGCTGTCTGGGCTGGAGGGAAGTGATTAATCTGAGCCTGCAGTAACAGTCGGTTGTTCCATGGAACAAAGCACTGTCACAGGCTGCTGGATTTTCCCCCTTGCTGGGCTGGGGCAGGGCTGCGAGGCAGCAGGGGTTGTGAGCCTGGTGTGTGTGGTTCCAGCAGCCCAGTGCAGCCTCTGTTCTGACGGCAGCATGTAGGAGAGGTCAGGGCTGCATTTCCTCTGGGACTGGGGAGAAATCTTCCCTGAATGCCCTGAGCTGTTGGCCACTTTTGCAAGCACAGATAATTGGAATGAACTGTGTTCCAAACTTGGGATAAATGTTGGATCCGTGCTGCTGTCTCCCCTCTCTGTGTGAACAAGAGCATATTGTGGTCATATTGCTGGAAATGATAGAGCTTTTCTGTTTGAGTCTCTGTTTTCTGTGCATACAGTCCTACTGCTCCCACTTGCTTTCTCATATGTAGTCATTTTCCAGCAGTCCTAACTCAGTTCACGCAGGGACAGAAATAAAGCGATTTGGAACCATGAGGACTGGCCCAATGCTGAGTGGCTGTATTCCTTGCTATCCAAACTGGGAAGAGGGGGCTATGATGGAAGGATGGTTGGGGATGCTGGGGAAGGTTGCTTATTGAACCCCCAGATCAGTGCCTGAAGCTTTGGATTCCTACTGCCATTCCTGCCCATGTGCTGCCATTGGAGCACGTTGCCTCACAGAATCACGGAATGACCAGGGTTGGAAGGGACCTCGAGGATCACGAAGCTCCAACCCCTGCCACACGCAGGGCCACCAACCTCCACATTTCATACCAGCCCAGGCTGCCCAGGGCCCCATCCAACCTGGCCTTGAACACCTCCAGGGATGCACGGGGCATCACAGCCTCTCTGGGCAGCTGTTCCAGCACCTCACCGCTCTCATAGCAAAGAACTTCCCCCTGACATCCAACCTCAATCTTCCCTCCCTCAACTTCAAACCATTTCCCCTTGTCCTGCTGTCATCTCCCCTTTCCAAGAGTTGACTCCCCTCCTGTTTGTAGGCTCCCTTTAGGTACTGCAGGCTGCAATGAGGTCACCCCACAGCCTTCTTTTCTCCAGGCTGAACAAGCCCAGCTCCCTCAGCCTGTCTTTTTGGGGAGGTGCTGCAGCCCCCTGATCATCTCTGTGGCTCCTCTGGACCCTCCGAATGCTCCAGCACACACCAGCAGCACAGCACAGCCATCTCCTCCACCCATTTGACCACAGAGCTATTTTGGCTCGGTGACCCCAGGACCAGTATGTTTTTCCTGTGAGCAGTGAAGCTGAACCATTGTTTCCACTTCCTGCTATAACTCACGTGGGTGACCGTGAAGTGTGTGCAAGGCACGAGATGCTCCACCACCTCACAGCTCAGGTGTGTCAGCAGTCCTTTCCTGCTTCTCTTCAGCCCTTTTGCATCATTCTTTCACAAAGGCACAGAGTGCTGAGGATTTTCTTTTGTAAATCTGCTTCTGTGGACCCCAGTGATGACGTTGGAGAGAAGTTCTCTGAAGGCATTGCTCTACGTGCTTGGAAGGGCCTTCAGTGTCAGACTGCAGAGATACCAGCTACAGAAATGGTCTTTTCTTTTAAATTGCAGCTATCACTTGATGGCAAGAAAGAATACAAGAATGGTGCTTTCAAAGCCAGTGGCAATGAACGGTGTGTGTTATTTACAGGCTGATATCAAGGAAATTAAATTCTACACTTAATAAGCGAAAATACGCTCGAACTCTCCAGGAGTGCATAAGCTTTGTACTGGCAGTGAAAGAGATCAGAGATTCACATCTCTCAGAGCCTCTCCTAGGAATCCTTCTCCTCCTTTCTCTCTCATCACTGTATACAACTGCTTCACTCTGATTTCTTGTGCCTCTTTAATTGCTTGTGCATTGCTGTTTGCAACTGCAAATAAGAACATTTTTACCAAAGTGAGAAGAGTCAATTACTTCATCTGTCTTTTCTGATGTCGTTTGTTGGAGGTAGTTTCATACTGTTACTCCTCCCGATGCTTTCTATACTACACTCACTTGTGAGGGTGATGCTTTATGTGCTGTATGAATGCATCCCCTCCCTTCAGAAGCCCACATGCCCCCACCTCCCTTGGCCTCATACACATTTTCCACTCTGGGTCTCTTAGGTGGCTTCTGCTTCTATTCTTGGTCTGAGTACTTTGAGAAAAGCCTCTCCAGAAAGAACTAATTGTGTAAATTTTGCTTTGTGGTGGTGAGCCCGACCCCCAGAGACCTTCACACGTGCTATCTAGTAGTGCTGTACATTTGCACATTTGCTGTAACTTCTTCCATTCTTTTACCGCAGAAGCTGAAAAGGCAGTCAACAAAATATAGGTCGGATAAGATCTACCCTACAGCCACAGCTGAGTGCCCAGAGAACATCAAGAAGAACAGATACAAAGACATCTTGCCCTGTAGGTTGGAAATTGCAAGTGTTACTGTTCAGCCTTCCCTTCTATGCTGTGCTAGAGCCGGAGGGGCTCAGTGCCACAGGAGACTTGCATTAACACTGCTGCTACTTCTCCTGCTTTTGTGCCTGCAGATGACCACAGCAGAGTGGAGCTATCCCTAATCACATCAGATACAGATTCTCATTACATCAATGCCAACTTCATCAAGGTATTGCTTCTTTCACGGTGCTCTACAGTGTAAACGTGTTTGCAGGCTGCTGGAGCTCCCCGGCCACCCCATGCCATGAGGAGCAGGTCCTGTAGCTGTGGCTACAAGCAGACGATGCGGTCGGTAGCTGCCATGCTGTGCAATGAGGCCAAAAGATGCAGAGGTTCTGCACGATGAGCCCTTCAGGAGCAGCACAGAGGCACCAGGCCCAGCACCACACACCTACTGCGTTAGAAGCTTGCGGCTTGCAGCCCCCGCTTCCTGTCAGGCTGGGGGACAGCACAAAACTGCCTGTGGCCAGGCTGGCCTGCCCGAAACCAGGGTGCTGATGGCCGGAAGCTGAGCAGCTCTGCTCAGCTCCACAGTGAGCAGCAGGAAAGTCACTGCAGGCTCCTCTGGCAGCTCTGGGTGCTAGGACAGATGTTGCTTCCAGCCCAGCCTCCTGGCTCTGGCTCTGCCTTTGGGACATCTTCACAGCTTGGCTTCTGATTGCTTCACTTAATTTAGGCGCCTAAAATGTAACTGTATAGAAGCCCCCCTTTTTGACCTCATAGGGTAGAAGTAGGATTCGGAAAGAGATGATTTTTATTTCTGTTGGTGAGCTGTGCAAATGTATCTTCATGTCCGATTTAAACAGGGAGTCTATGGGCCGAGAGCATATATTGCAACCCAGGGTCCTCTCCCCACCACTGTCACTGACTTTTGGAGGATGATTTGGGAGTATGAAGTCCTGGTAAGATGCGGATTCATGTTTGTTTGTTTTATTGTATTAAAAGTTGTCTTTAAAAGCAACTAGAACTCCTTTGTGACTGAAGACACGGTGATAGCACCAGGGCAGCACTCAGGTGCTCTGCATGACCCGTGTCCTTCCTGTGAGCTGGGATGTTGCTGCTCCTGCTGCCCTCCTGCTGCATCCAGCTCTGTGCTGGGAAGGTCTGGAGCTGTGGGTGGTGTCCTGAGTTTGCTTTGTCTGACACTGGGGGTGGCAGTCCAAATACCTCCTTTGTGGCTAATGAGCAGCCCCAGACAATGGGACTGATTTCTCTGCCTGGATAAAAAAAAAAACTCTTCTAACAAACCTTCTTTCTGCAGATCGTGGTCATGGCCTGCATGGAGTTTGAAATGGGAAAGGTGAGTAACATACTGAGTTGGTTGTGTTGCAGCGGGGCCAGAACAAGGTTTATATTAAATCTCACTGGGGACAGCAAGTTTCCATTTGATACAAATGGTTCCTTGAGTCTCCTGTGGCAAATCCTCAAACCATCTCCAGTAATGCAACCAGCCTCGCTGGCAGGGAAACAAGCCTAGCTCCTGCCTGAGGATTCCAGCGATGGGGCGGGCAGAGGTTGGTCAGCAGCAGCAGCAACAGCACAGCCTGCTGCACCTGCCGGGCAAAGAGATGGGAGGTGCTTCGTGTGGGCAGCAATGAATAACCAGACATTTGCTTCTTGCAACAGAAAAAATGTGAGCGGTACTGGGCAGAGGTGGGCGACCCCTCCCTGCAGTGCGGCCCCTTTTCCGTTACCTGTGTGAGTAAAGCACCTTCACACCACACACAGCACCTGCACTGCAAACTGCTGCCATCTGCAGAAAATGTGACTCTACTTATTGTTCTGCAGGAAGCTGAAGAGAAGAAAAACGAATACGTGATCAGGACTTTAAAAGTGACCCTGAATGAAGTAAGTAGGAAAGTCAAGGCAGGAAAAGCATCTTGGGTGGCTTAATTATAGAAATAATATTAAAATACATTGCACTTTGCAGAAAGTTCTATGCTCCTGGGCGTGGGGGTTTAGATTCAGCAGTAGCTGAAGGAATTATGAGACTGAAGGAATTATGAGACTAAAAAAACAATTAATTCAAACTTTGATGTCTGAAACTGTTTGACAGTTGTAACAAATTGGATCATGGGTAAGCCAGGCTAAAAGGCAGTATGGAGAACCCCATAAGGTGGCAAGGTGTCCCTTGGAGCAAGAGCAGCTACAAATTGCACTTGCAGCTTGCAGCCTCTGCTCGTCAATAGAGCACAGAATTAGAGGTGGCTCAGCACACCAGCTCGCCCCGCTGTGCTGATGGCCACTCGGTGTCCTGCCAGCTGTTCTCTCCTCCTGCAGGCAGCGCGCACCATCCACCAATTCCACTACCAGAACTGGCCTGACCACGACATTCCCTCTTCCATTGACCCCATTCTGGAGCTCATTGGCGAGGTTCGCTGCTACCAGCCAGATGACAGCATCCCCATCTGCATCCACTGCAGGTGAGTGTGCGCAGGGCAGGCTGTGCCCCGCGCCTGCCTGGCTTCCCCACAGGGATGGGTGCTGCAGTCTGTGGGCTGTGCTGTCTGTGGCGTGGGATGCAAGGCTGCCAGCTTTTCTTAATACCCTTGTTGGATAATACAGCCTGCCCAACTCTGATCTCTGCGAGCAACCCTTCTGTGACTCTCATTGCAGTGCTGGCTGTGGGAGAACAGGAGTTGTTTGTGCCATTGACTACACCTGGAAGCTGCTGAAGGATGGGGTAGGTGTCATCCCCCCACGTGTACTCACCACCCGTGTGCTGCCCGTTGTTGTTGCTGCACTCTCTTCCCTCTGCAGCCTGGTGCAAACAGCAGCACTGCAGTGCAGCTGTACAGGCAGGTTGGAGACCTTCCTGCTACCGCTGCTCTTGGCTTGGACTTCAGCTTGCAGGGCTTGGCTTGGCACTGGCCTTCAATCTTCAATACAAGTTTACTACTATTTGTCTCTCCACACTTCAGTATCAGACCTGCTCTCATTTTAAAGTCTTAATGATTTCTCTTTCTTGCAAGATTGTTCCAGTGAACTTCAGTATATTCAGTCTGATCCAGGAGATGCGCACACAAAGGCCTTCGATAGTGCAGACCAAGGTATGCCCAGGAAGTTCTGTCCACACACAGAACTGAAACCTCAATACCACCCAGGAGGACTCACAGCAAGGAAGCACAGAAAGGCTGTAGGGCTGGGAGGGGGTGTGCAGTTGTTCTGTAAGGTCCATTTTCTGAGCGGAAGAATGATTTTGCAGAAATGAATTTCTGACCACTTCTCTGTAGACAGCTGGGATAGTTTGGTGCTTGCAGAGACATTTTTTGAATGCTTATGCTATGAAACAAGTGACCATCCGGGAAACAAAGTGGAAACTCTTCTCAAGTGAGGCCGATTGAAGAGGAAGCTCGGTGCAGAACAGCGCTGGGCGCAGCTGACAAAAAAAACAACAAATGCTTTGGTCTCAACCCTGTGGAAACTGCAGCTTCTACTTCTTCTGAGAACTTGTCCTGCCACCAGACCACAAAGTGGCAGCTTCTCACAGGGGCTGATGTTTGATTTGGGTGATAGGTGACCACTGGTGACACGTACTGCAGGTGCTGGCTTTCACATCTCTTTCATTTGTTGAATGCAGGAGCAGTACAAGCTGGTTTACAATGCTGTCATTGAGCTCTTCAAAAGGCAGATTGAAGCACTGGATGCCCAGGAAGATTCTGCTTCTCTACAGGAAAAGTCACCACAACAAATGCACAGCCTCTTGCAGCCTGAGGCACACCAGGTTTGATCGTGATTCCTACTGCAGAATGTATAAGATAAATAAGCCACATTTTGCCCTATTTATTCATAATTACATTGTAACAGAAGCCTCCAACCTATCGAAGCACTTATGCGGCCCCTGTTTCTTTACCTGCCATTTCATCTTGTGAAGAGCCATGCCAAAGTATTTCAAATCTCATGCACCTCTGAGGGAGAACATGCTCCTGGTATGGAGTTCTGTAAACAGGAACAGCCCAAACACCAACAGCTTCTCCTAATTCTCTGTCTGGTAATGCAGCACAAGCATTACCTTGACGCTGTAGCTGTTTGCAGTCTTGTAGAAATGAAGAAGTTAAGAATTGCCACTCTTAAGTAAGCTTATATTGCCAAAGGTGCTGTCTAAAGCATGTGGATCGGGATCTCACGATGGGATTCACATCTCAATTTTCCCATAGTATTCACCAGAGCTGAGTGGGAGAATTGCTGGAAAGCGCCTTCTGCGTGTGTAGTGATGGTCAGTAAGCAAAGGAGATGCAGGGCTAGATTGACACAAAATGCAGAGAATGGTGCAAGTCTGGATGTGGCTTTGGAGATGTTGGCCAAAGCTCCCGCCTGCCTGAAGCTCAGTGCCTTCTGAAAGCACCTCACGGAGCACGGGTGACAGTCACATGCCAAAGCATCACAGATGAAATCAGCACCTGCACAGCATGGCTGAATGGCGCTGAGGGTCTTAAGCAGAGCTCAGGCAATTCTGCAGCTGTTTGACACAGCTGGATCATTGTCTGGCCCTTGGCACTCTCATCTCAGAAAGGTGCGGACAGGAAGAGCTGTTCAGGATGATCTGCCCTCAATATTCAGTGCCAAATTGGTGTTTTCGTTCTGGTGTTCGTCATTCCCAAACTCCATTTAATCATTAAAAGTAGTTGGCAGAAATTCTGTCTCCTGAAATTGCATTTTTGTGCTCTTTGTATTCTTTTTCTTCACTCTCTTGCTTTCTTTCATCAGGTTCTAACAAGGCACCCTGAACCCAAGCCACTGCTGAGCCCTGTGGAAGATATTTATTCTCTGAGTAGTTTGCTAACCTGGTAAGGTCACCACCCAAGTGTCCCTCGTATTTTCTATTACCCCTATTATTTCAGGAAGATGCACTTCTCGTGTTTATTTTGTGGAATCATAGAATCATCAAGATTGGAATACACCACTAAGATTGCATACAGGGTCCTCCTGTGTTCATCATTTAATGGTGGCCAAACAGGGCTTCCCTGTCACTCCATGCTGAACCAGGCAGGCTCAGTGCTCCCAGAGGACAGATCTGCCCTTACAAGCAATGCTCTGGGGCCTTGTTAATAGCCTAAAGGTTCCTGAGTGCTCGACACCTCTGACATCGTGCTGCCTTGCTTTGTTGCAGCTCGGGACGAGAGGACCACGATGAGCACCAACACCTTCCTCCACTGGTACAAAACGAAGCGCCACTGACATCCCTGTCTGCCACAGCAGCACGGGGCAGCTCTGGGGACACAGGCCCTTCCATCAGACCAGCGGTCTCTGTCGGCACTCTGAATGTTAGCGGCACCAGACACGCAGCTGCTGTCAAGATGTGGGGTGCAGGAGAAGCCCTGCAGAAGCACCGCAGTTTGCAGTTCAGCAGCAGGTCCTCTGAGCAGCTGCTGCTGGACCTGGAGCTGCAGGGAACAGGCAGGAAAGGGGCCCATGGCAAAGTACCTCTGGCACGGACCACATCGATACCTTTTGTGCTGGCACAGCAAAGAGAAGTCTGGGCTTGTGATGGAGGGAATGCAAAACCCACTTCGAATTCTCAGTCACCAAATGCCTGCTGTTCAGGCTTCCAGGTGAAGGAGCAGGATGTACTTTCCTTTTCCCCTGCTGAGCTGAACCACTCAAGCCAAATAGCAGACGGTCCCCCTGGCCACAGGAACTGCAGGCAGTGTCCTTACCCTTACTGTTGTTCAGCAGAAGACCCCTACTTCTCTTCACTCTCCCCAGAAGAGCTGCCATCCCCAGAGCCACCTGTTGGGCAGGATGCACTGGGCCCTCCTTGCACAGTGCCTACCGCCCCACTGCTCTGGCCTGCATCCCACCACGCTGCCCAGCCAAGCACTGGGAGGACATCCTCACCGAGTAAGTGCTGTGGGTGATGAGAGCAGTCCTTCAGCATCTGGCAGTGCCTGGGGAGGGCCTCACGAGGTTTCATCCCACCTTACTTCAGGATTTGGTGCACAAGTCTTCTCACTATTCAAATGCCAGAGGCGCTGGGGAACTTAAAGGAGCGGCAGTGCAATCAAGCAGCAGTGGTGCTGCGCACTGAGGGACTGTGAGTGAGGGGGCATGCAGTAACACCCTGTGCCATAGAGCTCTTTGTCAGAGCTGCTGGGAGGGCACCTGGGGCACACATCCAGCAGCAGGTGAGAGGAGCTGAGTACTATTTGGATTTTAGGTACAGCTCAGAGAGGTTTATGATGATCTCTGGTGGTCAGCTGGGTGGAGCAGCCTCTGCACAGGTCTGCAGTTCTGTGGTGCCATGCAGTAACCTGCCCACATTTCCTCCATTAGACATCCTGCCCCAGACAGATGATGATGATCCTCCACCCCTGCCAGAGCGAACTCCTGAGTCCTTTATTGTGGCCAGTGAATCAGGTAAGTGCATTTAGCAGTGCAGGGACTGACATCTGCCCTGAGGGCACTTCTCAGCTTCTGGGGGATCAGAGCAGTGCCTTTGCTCCATCTGCCTGGGATAAGAAATGTCACCTTGTTTTGTCTCCAGCAGAACTTCCCCTGGCCACCTCAGATTTTCAGTTTCCACCTAAACATGAAAATACTGGAACCTCCTTGGAGCAGAGTAGTGTGTCTCCCTCAGTGACGTTTAATGACTCAATGAGACTGAGACCAAGTAAGGTAAATAAGTGCAGTTTTATCTCTTCTCCAGCGCTGTCACTGTGTCAATTTCCTTATATGCTATCCTTGTTTTTCATTTCCAGAGTTTAAAGCTTCGGAGCCCACACTCAGGTACAAGTTTTATGCTGGAGTAACAATCATTGGGTACAAGGTCTATTTTTAATAGAACCTGCTTCAAATTATGCCAGATTTAGTAAATGTCACTAGGAACAACGCTCTGTCCAACAGAAATTTTCTGCAATAAAACAGATCTAAACAGTTCTGCAGCCAGATGAACTCGTAGTTTTGAATTTCCTCATCAGCCCCTGCATCACGGGCTGTATTTCATGATGACGTCCCTTGCAGCCTCCTCAGGCTAAGGGTCATCACGTCCTCTTACTGCATGTTTTGTGTTTCCTTTGACACAATGGAGATACACAGGATAGAGTTCTGCAGTCGCAGTGAACAGATACATGCATTTTCAAAGCAGGTACACAACCCTCCTGCCTTTGCTTTCTCAGAGACAAACCAGGATCGCTCCAGCTCTCCTCCCCCACTTCCTGAAAGAACCCCGGAGTCGTTTGTTCTCGCTGATGGAGAAAGTAAGTGATTTATTTTCCCAGCATTTTACTGAGATTCATACTTGCATCTCACCCTGTAATAACAGTGGCCCATTTGTTCCAAATATTACCAACGGACTGAACTGTAGGAGAGGTAAGCAGATACAAAGGAAGCAATTCCCTGTTGGGAATTTCTGCAGCTGCTGCGTTAGAGAAATCAAAAAGCAGCAACAAAGCACTGAGAAAAGAAGAGAGAGGATTCATGAATGACCACAGAAAGTGTTCTGCTGTATGTTCCCAGGTTTGCAGCTTCCTGGAAGAAGTTCTACAGCTAGTTCTTGGGACTTGAGTAATGGAGCTTCTGAAACATCATCAAAAGAGCCTGTGAAATGCTTCAGGAGAAGCAAGGTAAACAAACAAACAAACCAGAAGCACCTGCACAAAAGCTACAGGTGAAGGAGATGGTGAGAAGAGGCTTTTCTAGCAACAGCTACTGTTGCTTTCTGACTCCTAATCTAAAAGCAGCATGCTTTGAGAGCACTCCTCAGTTTAAAGCAAGGAAACAAGTCTAATAATAATGCTGTGCTGTAGAATTGTAGACACAACCTATGTCCAAAAGGAACAGAGCCACACATTCAGGGCTGTGAATGGCTCTGTCTCAGCATTCATAAGCACCAGTTCTTCTGGAAAAAAATTGCTTGAGTGGAGTCTCAATTCCCATGTAGGACGGGTTCTGTTCATCACCATGGCTCCAGTTAATTATCCTCATATGAAATTGTACTTTGGGATGTTATGGTTGAGCAGCAAAGCATTTGAGGAAAACAGTAAACTTGCTACTTTTTTTTTTTTTTTAAACAAAGCTTTTTTTTCTTTTTGCAGAGTTTGAAAATATTCAAAAACGTGAGAAAAAGTAAGTCATTCAGAATAACCTCAATGATTTTATCATTCCACCAAATGCTCTCAACGTGACAGAGAGCAGAACTGTGGGGAATGCGATTGACCTGAGCCCCATTCTGGATTCTGCCTCACCTATCTGGAGCATAAATGAGGATTTTCTCATGAAGTTCCCTTTGATCTAAACTTAAAAAGTTTATCTTGAAAACAGGACTGCCAAATACTGTTCAAAGCACTGCTGAGCAAACGTTTTTCCAACAGACTGCACTGCAGTAGCGCATTCACTCCCTACTATGAGCAAATAATTCAACCCTTTACAAGGGGAGATAACAGCAGGACAAGGGGGAATGGTTTGAAGTTGAGGGAGGGAAGATTGAGGTTGGATGTCAGGGGGAAGTTCTTTCCTATGAGAGCAGTGAGGTGCTGGAACAGCTGCCCAGAGAGGCTGTGATGCCTCGTCCATCCCTGGAGGTGTTCAAGGCCAGTTGGATGGGGCTCTGAGCAATGGAGGTTGTGTGGAGGAGTGCAATGGAGTGGAGGTTGGCAGCCCTGCTTGTGGCAGCAGGGTTGGAGCTTCGTGATCCTCGAGGTCCCTTCCAACCCAACCATTCTGTGATTCTATAACTCTACAGAATAATGTCTTAAAAAATGTGCAGCATTTGAGCAGCGTTAACGCAGAGAGTGCTTTGTGTGGACTGCAGCTGTATGTGTGGCAGTGTGCTCTCCTGTAGGGCTGTGAAAACCCAGTTCATCAGGGGGTTACGATGGTCACTAACTGTGTCAGTACAATTTTGTGTTTCCAGGCGTCTGTACTGCATCTTCACTGACAAAACCATCAGAATCTGCACCTTCAAATCATCTGAGCTCTTTCTTTAATTTCGGTATGTATTCATGTCGTAGCGGGAGGATTTGTTGCTAACTACAGTGTCAGACTGTATTTGTAGTTTTTGCACCAGCGGAATGCAGGCTGTTGCTTCAAGTAAACGACGTCTTAGATTCTGGGAGAATTTAAATTACAAGTGTTGTGAAAAACCCCGTTACTTGAGGAAATTACATGGTCCGTATCTGTAAGATGCTACATTTGTTGCATTTTATTTTATTTTATTTTTCCTAGCCTTTGCGAGTCGATTTTCAAAACCGAAAGGATCAAGAAACCCACCACCAGCATGGAACATTTAGGTAAACCTCGTAGATTTGGTGTCACAGAGGTGTGAATACCTTCTGATACTCCACGAGTGCTCACTTCAGGAAGGTTTCCATCAACGTGAACACACAAAACGTGTCGCATGATATCTGCAGATGAGGCACTACTCGCACGTTCTTCAGCTGAAGATCTGAAGTACAGGAGCACGCGTAACTACCAGCAGCTGATCGCTTTCAGTTAAATCACAACGGGGTGGACATCAAACCCAGGAACGGATATTTCATCCTAAAGAGTCATCAATTTTTGTTGCGTTTTGGGATGTTTACTTCAGAACGGTAGATTTGAGCTTTCTGAAAGAAAACTGTGAGTGATTCCAGTGAGCGCTGCTGAATGGTACAGAGGTCCAAGGAGGGACCGAACCACCACAAGGAGCTGAGACCTGCAGACGCCGTGTCACTGTTTCCTTCTGTGTTTCCATCACTTGAACTGAAAGGGAATTAGTATCTCAAACTATATTTTCCCCCTCACATTTAATGGTCTTTTTTCTCATATGAATCAGATTATTTTTCCTGTTTTTTGGTTAACAAAGATACTGCAGGACTGTGGAAACTGCAGCCCTCACTATACGAAAACCCACACAGCGATCCCAGCGCCCACAACTGACACCCGTTTGTATTTAATATTTTTACGACGCGGGAAACTCTGAAAGCCATATCCAAATTCGGGAATGGCTTATTTAATCTAGGAAGTATTTTATGATGTGTGACAAATGCTGTGTAAATAAATAAAGTTTATTTATGGGCCGGGAATTCACCCGCGCACGCAACACCGCAAGAGCGCCTCTGAGGGACCGCCGCCTTCCCGCCCTCCACGCGCCGCCCGCTGCACCCACTAACGCAGCGGCGGGCACGTGACCCCGTCACGTGACGCACGGCCGCCCCGCCACCGCCTACTACCGTCGTGCCGGCTCCCACGCATGCGCCCGCGGGCGGACTACACTTCCCGGCGCTCCGCCGCAAACTACAACTCCCAAGGGGCGCCGCGCGACGCCTGCGCAGTGCCGGCTGGCGCTCGGGCCATTTAAATGTGTGTGAGGGAGACTGTGAAATGGCTGCGCAGGTCGCTGCGGTGCGCGCCGTATCCCGGGCCCCGGAGGAGCCGCCCCCGCTGCCCTCGGGGGAGCGGCCCGGCCGGCCTCGGGGCGGCGGGCGGCGGCGGCGGGCCGCTCCCGGCGAGGCGGCCGGCGGCAAGCGGGC